CAATCTGTTTTCTGTTTGAGAAAATGTCTGTGACTAAAGGCCATTTCACAGTCTAAATTACCCATTAGCCAAATTTTTAAATCAATTCTGTTTGTGTTTTATGAACATGATCCGGCTCTTGACTTCACTGCGCCTCCTTTTCAATTTATCTCACATTTGTGACTATGTTTTAATTAAGAGACATTATATATTTTTGTGCAGTATAATATCCCTGAGGTCATTTCATGTGAACCCTATTAGGTATCAGAGTAAATCCTATTACTTGCAGAAATACGAAGATCTGTGTTGAAATATTGTTTACGTTTCACCAAGACAATGTCTGGACGTCGTGTATTGCAGAGTGTTTGCATTGCGTGTCTTGGAAATCCTCAGCTGTCATTGCCTGTTTGCTTTGTGGGGGGCAGCCTTGTCTTCATGAGGAAAACTCGATGCTGCTGAATGCCATGCCTAGTCAAGATAGCATTAACTTCCTACACAAATTCTAATTAAAGGTTATTAATGTTTTTAATAAAGTTCATTGGGCTTTATGCAATGGATTAATGTCAGCTGCTGCTACAGAGCTAGAATTTCCCTGGTACCAGAGAACACATGTGAAGTAGATTGGCAGGATAGTAACATAGTTTTGCTTGTTATTTCTGCCTTTCTGTTGCTTCCATGAACCTCTCCTGTCCAAGGGATTACTGAAGCACTCCTAAGTCCCCACGCTATGAGACAGCTGTGCTCTCAGGTTTTTAGGTTGATCTGGCAGTCAGTTGTACCTGGCTCGTGGATGAATGGTGCTGAGACTAATTGGCCCAGTGTCTTTAGCAAGTCATTTCAGGGAGGATTAATCATCAGAAGTCAGTGCTAGGGAAGCAACTCTGCTTCTCCAACACACAGCTCCACAACACAACTTGACATGATGTCATTTTTCTTTACAGTCTTTGATAGAAATGTGAAAACAGCCCACTTTATGAGGCACTCCCTAAAACACAAAAAAAGTGTTTCTCAAATTTTGGATGGATGTTAAACAGTTGATGTTCATGAAATTTCCAAGCTTTACAAAACCAGGCTCAGAGTAATGATATATTTTAAATAGCATATTCCAGTTACTTCCATAATATCTCCAGGAAGAGGATTTTGTTCTTTAGCAGTAATAATGTTATCTTTAAAAATATGGCTTTAATTTGGAATTCATTCCAGTGGTAGTAAGTGGTTTAAGCCCTATCTGCAAAGTAATGGCATTTCTAGTAATGCCTAATTAATGTCAATTTTTCCTTATCAGCTTGTTTTCATATGCTGCCAAAAACCTAAGCAAGCATGGAAATAATTGCATTTTAATTCCCTTCCTCTTCGCCAATGCAACATGGATGCATTGTAACATACTCTTCTGACAAAGTCTGAGGAGGGTGAAATCCCCAGTTCCCTCCCCAAAGAACCTTCTAAATTAGACTGGCTGTATAATGCTTTTCATGTTCCCCTGTGTTTGTAATGAAGGGAGGAGGGAGTGATAAGCTCTAGGGTATTTGTCTCTTCTTTCTGCTGTGATCAATTGTATGTTTTTGCAAGGAAAATTGAGCTGCAGTTACCAGTATTTTGCTTTAGGGTTTTGCTTTCAGGAAGCCAGTGACTGTATCCCATAAGGACAACTGTAGACAACATCCTGTCCATTCTAAAATATTTTCTATTCCAAAACAGGTCACTGGATTCCTTTTTCAAGTGATGTGCACAATTGGTCAAAACACTGCATATTTTTTCCTACATGATAGTTTTAACTTAATGAAAGGGTGGATTTTTTTTTCTGTAGTGCTAGTCCATATTACCAAAAAAACCCCAAACACACCATTCTTTAGAGTTTTCACTGACTGCCAGCTAAAGAATATATCCCGTAGTCAAAAATAGAAATTCTGGGTTAAATTTTGGTTTATAAACTGAAGGTTCAGGTCTCCTAGTTTGTATTAAGAAGTAGTCAAAGACTAATATTCCAAAAGTAAATTACAATTTCAATAAACTTTAATATTGCAGTGCTGTTTATTATTCTTTATTATTCTTTTATAAGAATCATCTGGGGAAGGAATTATAAGTTTTGAAGCATTAAATTCTTCTTAAGTAAAAATATTCTAAAAGCCCTTTTACTGTTTTTCTGCATCAGTGAGAGAGGCACAGCCCTTAGGATGGCTATATTTCATGTGCATGTCCAAGTGCAGGATTTTTAACTTTATGCTAAAAATATTTTCAACTCAGAGAAATTTCCTTCTACATGCAAAGATCATTTGGATTATGTTTATCAAACTGAAGGCTTTGGCTGTAGTGCATATATATATACACACACACACTTCTGGCCTGGCCCCATTTTCTTCAGCCTAAATCAATAACCACAGCTCTGTTTTCCTTTAGTTCTGTGAGCCAGACTACCTCTGAAGTAACAGAAGTACTTTCCCACTCTGGGAGAATGTATTGGTTTGAAAGTCACTGGAATAATTCTAAGCTTGCACACCAAGCCTCCAGCTGGTACAAATGTTGTGGAGTCACAGCAGAGTCCCTAGAAATACGTACTTTGTAATTCCAGTATAAAGGAACTGAGTTTTTCATGGAAGTGAGACATAAAGTGCTAATGCCTCTTCTCCAAGCAACTTATTTCCTGAAGTCACGAAGAGGTTTAACACCAAATCCAAGAGGCCAAGACTTCCTCCCCACCTCCTCGTAGTCCAGGTGCTGCTGCTCTCCTGCTTGGAGCAGGAAACCAGCACAAGCAAGGAAGGCTAGCGACCCTCAAAGCCATTATCTCCTTTTCTACTTAGCATGTTAGCCTGCACTGCTCCTTCATCTGGGATAGTTGAAGAGAGTAGCCTAGATAAAGGAGACACTGAGATCAGGTTCCGCCAGGGACTCCCAGCTGCAGAAGGGGCTGCCCCCGGGGCTTGGGCTGCTTGTAGGGAAGCAGCACATTGTCCAGGGTTTTGTGCAGTCCATGCTCTGCCATGGGACACCAAAAGTGGCCAGGTGAGGCAGGGGCATTCCTGAAAGCTTGTCTCTCCCTAGGGATGGCCATGCCAGCTCTCAGACCCGGTAACAGCAGGAGTCCTGCAGCCCATGTTGTAGCATCTGAGGGAGGTACAGCATCACTGCAGCACCTGCAGAACCGACCCTAAGGGAAGGCTGCAACCCAAATACCTCATCCACATGTAGCTGGGATGTGGCTGAGTCTGGCCATGCCTTTATTCTGCTCTCCTGAGCAGGCATACCTTTCATAGGTGAATACCTTTCATAGGCATTCACTACGTGTCTCCCTAGGAACAAGGCATTCCTGCATCCCCTTCGGCTGCTGAAGGTGACATTGTGTTCATGTACCCAGAGAACAACTTCTCGTTTTACTGAGGGTTATGTTTTCACAGAAATTAAGGATAGCTCTACAGTGGCTTGGGATATCTGAGTGACAAAGGAAAGGTTGCTGCAAAGGCTGTCTGGGAGGAGAAGCTAGATCCACTTCAGTAACGCTGCCAAGTATTTGTACTGCTATGTATTACTACAGCATAAACTCAGAAAATAAAGCAGCTTCCTTTCTTTTAATATTCAGAGCCGGGGATTTAAAACTGAATGCAAAATCTCTTATTTGAGTTCCATTTTCTGCTAAAGCCAAATTCTCTCAGTGTGTCCCCTTGGCAATGCAGAAATCCCCAAAGGACTGCTCCTTACAAGATCACTCCATTGCTTTTATCTGCTGTGATTTTGTAGTATGTATATTTGAAAGGCTGCTAAGGCAGGGAAGAATTGTCAAGGGATAGCTGAACCACAAAGGCTGTAGTAATAAAGAAGGACAGAACAAAATTGAAGCCATAATTCCAAGATTTTCATGTTATTTTGGAATGTAAGCAAATTTTAATACTTCATTAGCATAGTCCTTGACTAATTTGTTTTTTACTACAGCTTGTTGCAGAGAGCATTATTTTGTGTTTCACTCAGTAGGGGGCAGCTGAAAACATGTTGGTAAATGCCAGGAAAAAAAAAAGAAGACATATAAGGACTGCTTTTTCTATGCCATCACCACAGTGGAAATGTCTGGTGAAATAACTGAAGAGCGTTTTTAATATAGAGCATTTTCCTGGTAGTCTTGCTGACTGGTTTATACTTAACTACAACAAATATTTAATACAGACATATTAAAAGTATCAGTTAAGCTTTGAGAATGGTGTTTTACATATAGAGTTACATATACATATACATATCAGTTGTAGCCCAGAAAAACTGCAGATACAGGAGCAGGATTGGTATTTGTTCAACACAATAGAGATACGTCTATGTGTGCGTATAAAAGTGAGAAATCACACCAATTCTGTAATTATAAAAAAAATATACATCAGAAAATCTTGTAGAATTCTTTTGTATGTAATCAATAATTTAAAAGATCCAAATATGGAACTACTAAAGATACAATCAACTCTTTAATAGCCACGGATGGCACATTTAAGGTACAAAATAGCTGTACTCCATTGACCCTAGTGTTGTGCATAGCTGGTACAGCTGCCTTGGTGTTTCAAACACAGACAGCTCTCAGATCCAGCTGCATTACTTCCATGCTTAGTTCATGTCTAGAAGTTTCCAGTTCTGGGCCTTACTGAGTCAGTACCAGACCAGAGCTAAGTTAGTCTCAGGAGGAGTGTCTTTCTTTTAGAAACCCCCAACAAAGAGTCTCTTGGTTTTCTCTTCACCAGTATCTATTTTGATACACTTTTATTATAGGGTATACCGATTTTTTTATTACTTTGGCTAAAGAAGAGAGAGAAACCTCACCTTTTGTCTGTTAGATGTTTAAAAGAATGTCAGGAAAAATGAAGAATTGGGAATAGATTGAGAGCACATTCAACAGGAGGAACAGCTGTATTGTTAACTGGTGTGTTCTGTGCTTTCTCTATGCCTGTCATTGTGCTTCACTGTTATTACCCTTCACAAAAAGGCAGAGTCGCGTCTTTTTGTCCCAACACATGGCCCCACATATTTATCATCTCTTGGTCCATTTTTAGACATGAACTTCTGGAAGAGGCTCGGAGAAAAGGTTTGCCTTTTGCACAGTGGGATGGACCAACGGTGGTTGCCTGGCTGGAGGTAAGTGTTGGCCATAACTTGAAAATGTGAGTTGCATTTGTAGACTGCTTCTGTGTGCTTGTCATTACAAATCTTAAAAGAGACTGTTACAGCCTCTTTCCCCCTGTGTGCTGTGCCATCAGCACTACGTATGTTTTGACACTGGATGGTGTAAATTAGAGACTAGAGCTGAAAAAAGTAAGACAGAATTACACAGTGGGATGAGGACCAGAAATGCACTTGAATCCCAAAGTTTTTAAATCCTTGAATTACTCAGTCTCTAAATGTCTAAGAACTCCACAGACATTTTATGTAGAATGATGTGCTAATTTTAATAAATGTAAAGAATTTGTAGCTTTCTGCATTTTAAAAATATAATGGAGGAAAAAACTGTTCCTCTCACCATTTTCACCTGCAGTGTGGGAGATCCAGATTGAAATCTCTCTGATTTGACAGTCATTGCCTTCATATTTGAAATCCAGTGTGCAGAGAGCTGTCCTTTATTTGGAGGACCTAAATGAATGGGTTTTGGAAATCAAGAAGAAATCAGCAGAGATATCATCAGTTTTGACAAAGTAATCAATGAATGTTTTAGGTGAAGGAACTAATAAAAAAAAAACTTACACAGATGCTGAGGGGAGAAGAAGAAGGCAGAAAGTAAGAATGTTCTTATACAAATCCACAGTCACTTTTACATGGCAAGGCTGTAACACTCCAGTGTAGATACAAACTCTTTGTTGGCTCAAAGAACAAGTGTCTGTTCCTTACTATACCATGCACCTCTACCTATTCACAACTTTTCTACTGCCTGCTGTAGCTATCATCCATTGATCATCAGTTAGACCTTGTAAAGTTTTTCCCTTCAACAGAAAAAAGAGATCTCTCTCCAAACATTTGACAGAAATATGCTACTGAATAAACGAAAGACAAGAAATTAAAGCAGATAATGTCCACAAAATTTCTGCTTCACATTGGAATTGATGAAGGTACCTAACGGAAAATGAAAACTGCAGAAAGCCAGTACAAGTATTTGTATTTGACCTTGGAAAATAGGATTATATCCTCATTCCCAAAAAATCTCTGTTAATATGGAACAATTCTTGGCACTACTTTACTTTTTCATACGACTAAGAGTTCTGTAACCATATTTACATCAGTCAGGAATATATAGTATTACAGTAAAGGCTGATTTGCTGGAGACATGAACTTACAAACGTCTATCACTTCTGAATACCAATACCCTCATCTTTCAAGGTGATCTGCAGTTTCAAGCAGCTTTTGATAAGTTAAGCCCTAATGTTTTTTTTCCTTGATTCTTTTCTGAAAAATAGGATATGTTTCCCAGTGTCTAAGAGAGGGGCTGTAAAGAGAAATCAGGACCTGTGAAGTTCTTGGGGAATATGATGACAGTAGCACAGGAGAGCTCAAAAGGAAGTTTATGTGGCAGTAGTCAATGCAGATTGAATACTGATGACTGATGATAAAAAGATATGAGGATAGGAGTAGTATGTTTATTCAGTGAGCATCGGTGCATACAGTCAGCAGATGGACACTGTGTGTCTCCTAAAGAAAAATGTGTCACTTCAACTAAACAATAAAGTAAATAATAAAGGAGAAAAAGACAAAAATCTAAAAGTATACTGTGACATTTTTAAACTTTACATAGCTTTTCAGCTTTAGAATTTATTTTTGTTGTTCATATGTACCACAGACATAGTTGAGAAATATTTTAAGAATTTTGTCTTTTCTTAATTAATTCTGGAAAAGTTTATTGATCTTAATATCTGAGTTCACTGTCTAGAATGATTTCTGTGTTCTCTTTTTAGAGACTGTTCATCTAACATAATTTTCTGCTAGACAGCTGTTTTATTGAAGAATTTACATATCTTGTTAAAGAAGTATTTTACCTAATGAGCAGCAAAGAGTTTAATCTATTTCTGCAGGGTGAATAACTCCCAGTGTTTATGCTTTTCTGCTTTTCAAGTGCATGTGTGAAAAACATTAATGTCAAAATAAATAAGGTGATAAAATACATTTTAAAGCTATGCATGGTTTTCTCATGGCCTTTTAAGTGCAGCTGGGTGTTATCTATGTAGTTTTTAGGTTTTATTTTTTGGTTGTTTTCTTTTCTTTCATGAAACTTTGTATTTTGTAACAGTTTCTTGGAATCAGACCATATTTTTAAGGTTCAGACTAGCATTGGATGGAGGGCGGTTTCTAATCCCATCAGTGGGAAGGACTTAGTTAAACACAACACAGTCATTTCTCAACCTCTGTGATACTTCAGGACTCAAAGCTTTACTCAGCCTTTTTACAACCTGACAGTCAAGTCTGTTTTCCCTGTGACATATGACTGACCTAACAGCTGTCTTCTATGGAAATATTTCCCAAACAAAATATAAACTTCTTAATAACCACACACTTCTTCCCCCTACTGTGTCAAATGAAATTAAAATCCTTTCAATTTGTCACTGCTTTCCAGATTTTTTTGTAAATTTCCTTATTTCCTTGACCTTGTGTCCTCTTTTAATAAGCCTTTATTAAGAGAAAAAAAAAAGGCAACCAATGGAATCAGCTAATTCTGATGGCGTACTTGAGATGCACCTAGCTAGTTTTCCATTATGTTATTCCTAAAATCGCAGTGATTATGGCATTCACTGCTTATGTTCTTCCCACAGGCTTTGCTAAGCATAATGAACTTCATACCATGATTAAAAACCTCAGATATATGTATCCCTGATACGAAATTGCCTCCTTTGGGAAAAAAGAGCTGTATACATATAATGAGGCAGCATAAAATGAGAAAGCTGAGAAAAACAAGAATAATTCACCCTCAGTAGGTCCTCTGGTACAAGGACAGAATAAGTGGTGAAGGCTGTTGCTGGCCTGGGCTAGTAAGACTAACATAAGGAGAGGAACAGCAAATAAATACATATCTTCTAAATCCACAGTGATGGATCCACAGGTGATGGAACTGCGCTCACAGTTTTCTGCTCCTTCTAACCAGTATTCCTAGTTGGGATGTGACACCATACCAGACTGTTCCCAAATTTACTGTAAAGTCTGTCCCTGATAGGTTGATTGTTTGAACTGGACTTGGTTAATTTCTACTCAGAAAATAAAAGCTGAGAAATGTAAGATTGTGCCCCTTGAGTATACTACATTAAAAAAAAAAAGCCATTTTAGTACAAAAGTGAAAAAATTACTTGATTCCTCCTAGATGTTTTTCTGTACATAAGACTATCGGATAGGCAGTAACACTGACTTGTGCCTGTACTTGGTCATTAACAAACCTGGGAAAGGAGTAGCCCAGGGGATGGAGGCAGCTCTAAAAATAGTTCAAAGCATGCCTTGCTTTAAAGTTCTGATTTCAGTAAAAGCAAAAACAATTCACATGAAATTGTGACAATTTCAAAGGTTCTGAAACAATTTTGTTGTATTAAAGACTAAGATGTTCATACTCATTTGTGTGTTACCATGCTTATTCATACTGATAGGTGCCCTGACAATTAATTATTTAATATTGGTTATTAATTAATTTGTTATTAGTGGTCATGACACCAAGTCTGACAGAGTTTAAGAAGCTTTTGGACAGCACTCGTGGCACATGATGCGATCCTTGGGGCTGTTCTGTGCAGAGCCAAGAGCTGTACTTGATTGTGCCGATGGGTCCCTTCCAACTCAGGATACTTTATGTTTGTAATTTCATTTGGGAAATGAAGCAGTGCTTTGGATGGAATGTCCTTTCTCTCGACAGCTCTGGCTAGGGATGCCAGCCTGGTATGTCGCTGCCTGCCGTGCCAACGTGAAGAGTGGAGCTATCATGTCTGCCTTGTCCGATACTGAGATTCAAAGAGAAATTGGAATCAGCAATCCCCTTCATCGCCTAAAACTCCGGCTAGCAATCCAGGAGATGGTATCGCTGACAAGTCCATCAGCACCTCCAACATCCAGAACAGTGAGTCCTGTTCAGCTAACCTTTCCTCTCCCCATTTCACTCTACAGGAGTCTGCAGAAAAACTTTTGTAGCATCAGACTGACTCTATGATAACACACACTCCACAATCAGTGAGAACTGTCTAATAAAGGCTCAGAACTACCTGTTCATCACCTGCTTGATTGTTGATTGCTGATTTTTTTTTTATCAGATTTTTTTTTAAGTCATTGTTTTGATTATCTTTGATGTTATCCAAATCAGTATGGAGCAACTTATTTGTAATTTTGCCTTTATTTTTGCCTTTCTGTTCCTTCAAATCATCTGTACCAGCCTAATCAGATTGTGTTTCTCTTTTTTTGTTTGTTTATTCTCTTTCTTTATTTCTTTTTTTGGGGTGGAGGGGAGGCACGTTTTGGGAGAGGTTATGTAGGAAAAAACTTTTGAGTCTTTTTCCCATTTCCCCTTTTTGCACCCTTTCAAATGTTATCTAATGTAAGTCAGCTGGATCTAGGTTCTTCATGATTTTAAGAGAAGCGGTGATTAGAGGTGAGAGGGGAGCATCTGGAAAGCAGAAGTGGAGCCTGTGCATCCAGTGAGGAAGGAAGAGAAAGTGGTGGGAGAAAGGAGGGAAGCAAGTAAAGATACACAGAGATACAAGTCTGAAAGGAAAGGGGAATATATCAAAAAGAGCAAGGAAATAAATCAGGGGAGAGTAAGAATAGAATGAAAGTGCTATATATAAAAAGCAGGAAAAATAGGCCAAACTGATCTAAAAAGTGACAAGACAACAGAAGGGAAGTTTTTAATGCTGAGATATGCTGATGGTAATGGCAATGAAAGATGTGATGGAGGCTAACAAAACAGTCTTGATTAGATGGCAAACATGGCATAGAAGCAAAGGACAAAGACTACTACTCAAGTAGTGTAGCTCAGATTTCTACTAGCAAGGCAATAATAATAATGATAATGTTAATAATATTTATATTTTGTAATATGTTGTTTTCATTAAATTTATGGGGAATCTTTTGGTAGAAATTAGAATTCAGATACCTTTGTGAGGCACCGAATCTACTGGGCTACATAAGCAACTAGGCAACAGCACTAATACTGTTATTGAGTGCCCTTTTTTCTTCATGTTGCTCATATTCTTTAAATATTGTTGTTCACTGTCTGATACTTTCTTCCCTGAAAAGAGTTTTGTGTGTCATTACCATGGTAATATTATGAATTGTAGTGGATTTTACCAAAGTAAAGCAATGAAGACTCGATATGATGTTTTAATTACTACACAAAATTAATTATCATTTTAAGAGTGTAAGAGGATATTTCAAAGCATAAAAGCATTTACACTTATGAAGGGAGAGAATATTATGTTCAAGCTAAAAACATTGGGAATACTTTTGCCTTGTTTTTTTAATTCTGCCTGAGTAACTGCACACAAAGCTGCCCTGGAATGTGCATTTCTGAGTCCCCAGTCTTTCTGTTTTCCCTCTTTCTCAGGAAAGGAGTCAATTGATCTCAGGTCTCCAGAAAACACAGCACACATCCATGTGCCCTCCCAGACTCTCCTCATTGTTCTAGTATTCATTTGATGAAAAAACAATAGGATGAGAATAGTTTTAGAAGTGAATTATCTTGAAATTTTTGATTTACAAAACATGGTAGAAGTTTTCATTATTTAGATTACAATATGGGAATGTGATTTGTGCAGATAATAATTAGTCTGGAAGATCTTTGGCAGCTGAAGCTTAGCTCTGCACAGAGCTGTGAGCTAAAAGTTGCATTTGCCAGTTGTTTATGAAATGCAGGTTTAATTATTATCCTTTCCTTTGTGGCAGTGCTCTGCCGGATTTCATCTATCAGTTCTAGTTGTAATACTCCATCACATCTGTTCAGAAGCCACTAATGAAAGATACAAACCAAGTTGTCTAAAGTTGTCTCTAGTTGCAGCTCGGTAGAGGCAAGAACGTGGTTGTGCTGATGGTGATGCGCTGTTAACTTACAGTGGTGCTGCCTTTCTTCTTTACCACTGCTTACCTAATGTGGATCCCACCTGCCTTCCTGTGGGCCTTGTCTGTAGCCCTCAGGCAATGTTTGGGTGACCCATGAAGAAATGGAAAATCTTGCTGCTCCAGCTAAAACGGTTAGTCATTCCACTTCCACTTAAAATTTCAGTGTTCAAGAGAGGATAGGCTTGTTCCTGATTTTTTTTTATTTTATTATGCCATATCTTCTGTAGGATGTTTCCCAAAGCATGCCATTAAAAATTTGCAGGGAGGAATGAAACTGAATTTAAAGAACAGTTACGTTATCTTTCAGCAAAGGAATTTAGAGACTCTATTACCATCACAAAAATTGCGTGACCCTAAAACAAGTATTGGACTTTTTGAGTATATAATAGTTCCAGTGCCACTGTGAAACCTCATTTAATTGAATGAAATTGTCATGGTGCAACATTTCCCCTGTAATCTACTCCCTCTTTTTCTAAGTGGTGTTTTGTATTTGCTGACATAGAAAGAAATAAGAAAAGGTTTGAGAATGGTGCACTACACAACTTCATGTTTTCAATAATGCTGAGTCTTTCTTGTCCATACTTGGGTATTTATGATCTTTGATTTCAGATGCATGGAGAGTGTCATTTATTTATTGGTTTTTGTCAAACCTCTCCCTTAACAGTAAAGTAAGACTAATTTTTTATTCAGTTCACAATGGATGTTATTTTAGATTTTGGTTGTTAACATCATATATAACAGCTCCATAAAGGTGCTTATAAATCATGATTCCGTGCTCCAGGGAGATCTCTGAAAAAAATGATCTTTAGTTTGGAAAACTTTGTAGTCAGCCCAATCTGTAAATGGTGGAGCTAACTTATGATGCAATAAGGAATTATTTTTTTACATTTTATGCTTGTTATAATATTTAAAATTTTCTCATCAGCAGTAAGGAAGTCAATTCTCATCAGTATTTTTTTTAAACTAAGCTCATTTCCAATTTCATGATTGTTGGTAAAGATAAAAGCAAATGTAACAGCACTGAACTGACAAGAAGTAGAGTTGATCCTGTTTAACTGGCCAGCTGTAAAATTAGGACTTTTCCATAAAAAACGTTATGTAAAAAGCTCCTTTACAATACATTCTCAAGAAGACAGCTTTTTAGTGTGAATGTTTCAAAATCAAACTAGAAACAAAAACATCACTAATGCCCAAAGTTTTAAGTAAATGTTTGTGTTTAATTGTGAAACTCTGAAGAATGTTTAAATAATGCTTTAAAATTTCAACAAGACATCATGATTTTCTGTCTTGAAAACTCAGCTACATTTTATGGTCTTGGTCTTATAATTTTTCAGGTAGTTAAGCCCAGAACATTGCCACTGGCCAGAGTTTTTTTATTTGTGCACTTTATGTGTGTATTTTCCTTTTCAATAACATGCATATGAAAATTACATCTTTTTAAAACTAATTTTTATTGTCTTTTTGCCTGCTTTACTAATTACTTCCTGCTGATAATACAGAAAGAGTCTGAAGAAGGCAGTTGGGCTCAGGTATGATCTTTCACATGATTTTTTTAAACTGAAAGTTAATAATAATGTAATTGGGTGCATCAATATGCGTTGTGGAATATAATATTGTGACAGTATCTCAATGATTGAATTATGATTTACGTATTTTAGAGTTCTTCTCAAAGAATATATTCTCCAGACAGTTTTGCTAGGTAAAGCAGAAAGAGGTACATATGTTGTGAATATTTTTCACAAAAGAAATTACTACATTCCAGAGACATATTCTATCTCCAATCTAAAACTGTGTTTAGAGTTTTAGAGAGTATTTTCCTAATTTTTCAGAATAGGACAATTAAATATGCTATGAATTTGAGAGCTAATTTGTTTTAGATTACATCAAATGGTTTTTTAGAACACTTGTATAAGTCACACCCAAGTATCAGTCTACAAATAGTATTGGATTATTTAGTTAGAATTGTCAATTAGCTACATTTTACATTTTTTTCTAATACATGCACACTTACAGGACCTTGCCGTCTTTAGGGATGGCATTCCTTTTCTCTTCAAAATCTCACAAGAATGAGACATAAGGGGTCTATATTTTCCCTCATAGATAATATATCCATCCAGCTTTAATTACGTTAATCTTTTATGGCATTAAAAACAAAACCAAAAAGATAGTCAGGCTTGAAAATGATCCTGAGCACAATCCTGTTGAGGAAGTGTAAATCTTGCAATTTATTAGTTCTCTGTTCCGTTTTATAATACAAAATAATTAACAAGAGTGAGTTGTAAAAACTCATTTTGCATCTTAATAGGGTAACTCCTATAAAAATAGTTCAATATGCATGGATTTTTCTTATAGTTCCTTCCTCACCCTAGTGAAATTTTAGCTGAACAATGAAGCCTGAGCACTAGATTCTACTAGGAACCTGGTTTGCCCCTATTAATTTCTTGAGCTCTGCATATATGGTGGATTTAGGTTTAAACTGTTCACAGCTGAAAATATCTCATTTAAATGTAAGCTTGAGTGCCAATTAACTGAAATTAAGTTTTATTCTCTAAAAGACTTCAGGTGTGTAGCCATGAAGTTTTATTAGACCCTATTTATAAAATTCTTCTCCCCACAAACAGTAACAAGCCTCAGTGGATTCTCTGGAGCCATGGTTGCATTACCAGTTCACAGTTCTGGTTTTGCCTGGCATAAATATTCTAGAAGGTCAATTGAAAGCAAGTCAGATTATGAAACACACACATTTTGATTGTGTAACAAGTTTGCTTGCATTTAAATCTCAAAATTGAAAAAAAATTCCTTAAAACTTACATAAGAAAACAAGGTACAACAGCCGAAACTGGTATCCATAACAAATATCTCACTCTATGAGATATTAGCTATATTGGCTCCCTCTTCCAATGTTAAAACAAAGCAAAACCAGAACTACTCTTTTTTTTAGGCATAATTATTTTTTTAAACATAATTATTTTCTTTTTTTTTTTTTTTTTTTCTTTTAGACATATTTTGTTCTCAGTCTGTGGTGTAGTCTTGAACAAACTCAAGAATTTATTCTCCCTCTCTGTTTTCTTCTCTCTGTAGACCCTGGCTTATGGTGATATGAACCATGAATGGATAGGTAACGAATGGCTCCCCAGTCTGGGCTTACCTCAGTACCGAAGTTATTTTATGGAATGCCTGGTAGATGCGAGGATGTTAGACCACCTGACAAAGAAAGATCTGCGCGTGCACCTAAAAATGGTGGATAGTTTTCATCGGTATGTTGGCATAAAGACTACACGTATAAAAATACTTATGTGTCTGCTCCAGTGCTCAGTGCTGCACAGAATAAACATTTTCTGTTGTTTTGGTATGGAAAAACACACAGAAAAGAGAGGGTGGACTGTCAGAATTCTGAATTGAGAGAGATTCCTGTAGTAACAGCAACCACATTGCAATTATGTCTCTCAAAACCAAGATACTCATACAGATAAATTTCGTAATGAGCAGGGAACCATTAATATATCAATAGACCCTTGACAATACAGAAACAGTAATAATTTAAGTGGTGTGAAGTATCAGAAAGTGTTAGACTAAGCTTCAAAGCTCTGAGATCTCATAATAATGAAAAGCTATTGTGTGTAGCACATAAAAGCTGTTAACAGTACAAGCAATGTGACAGTTGTTGGGTTACCTCGGGATATAGCTAGGAAGCTAAATGGGAATTATGGAAATAAGGGCATTTAAACTTTAGGGAGAATGAGGTTTATGTGACAAGAAGTGGATTTCTTTTTAATATGCTGTCTGATTTGTCATTTTTTTTAAAGCCTGATTTGACAAAACATTTCACAGCTCGCAAGGGCTGACCTTTTCTGAACGCTACTTTTAATGCTTTGGGTTCTTATGCTAAAACAGTTATTCAAACATACTCATTTTGGTTTTTTCCATTTCATTCCTGAAGCCTGTGGAGTTTTTTAACTGGTTTTTCTCTCCCTTCTCTTCTCAAGATTTCCGACATAGGCACTATGAAATACCTCATGCGAAGTGCAGGAAATACATCCTACATAATGTTCCCATCTTCAAAATTATTTTTATTAACTCTGTAAATGTTTCTCTTTAAATAACAGAACAAGCTTGCAGTATGGAATCATGTGTTTAAAGAGGTTGAATTATGATAGAAAAGAACTGGAAAAGCGAAGAGAAATGAGTCAGCATGAAATAAAAGGTGATAGTTCCTGGGAATGAATACTGGGAATGTTTCTTCTTTTGAAGCTTCACACTGTTAACCCATTGTCATGCCATTTTAGCAAAGCATTTAAGCATGTGCTTTAAGCAAAACTAACATAAGTCCATCTTTCTTCAGGACATATCCTAGCTCTTTAAATTAGGCACAGTTAAGTACTTTGCTAAATTTGGGCTATAATTCTGAATGGTGGTTTGCCACATACATTTTGCTAAATTGAATTTTGGGTATGGATCTTACCTGAATCTCTTTCAGGCTCAGAAGCAGAAGGCCAAACAGTGTGCAGCTCAGTGGGATGTGCTGGGGGAAACACTAAAAAATGGGAGCACTCAGGACCCTAACACTATGCTCCAGCTTTTTAAAGCCTTTGCCTTGGATTTCTTACATCAGAATGTATCATAAAAAAAGCTGCTTGGAGGGGTGACCACTGAGGCAGATGATTGGTACATAAGAATAGTTCCTTACAAAATTGGCCTTATTAGAAGATTTCACAGCTGATTCTGAAGATTTTTTTTCTGTTTAAAGCTCTCTAGAGCAGTTGCAGACTCACTGCATGGTTCTTTTTATATGTAACAATTAGGGTGGCTGGGTTTTTTTCAACTATCAGAAATGAATTCTTTGATTCCTTTGAGCTTTCCCAGCTCTAGTGACTACAGCAGTTAGCACTTCTCAAGCACAATGCTGATTAGGAGAGCTGAAAAAGAGAGTTGAAGGGCTACAGTGACAGTGCACATTTGCTCAAGGCAGATGATGGCATGCACTAATGCAGACTGCCTTGGATGTACAGGCATCAGTGCCAGTCAGCCAAGTGGGTCTAGCTGGAGACTGACATAGGGGAATTGGGTATTGGTCTCAAATTCTGCTGTGGCTTCAGTGCTGGCTCCTGATAGGAGAAGGGTAAGAATTCATAGCCTCCTTCACCTTGTCATGGATGGGTCAGTTATTCATGGTCGCAGGTGGGATTTGGTCTCTGCCTGCCACCGTGTTTCAGCTGATCCTGACCCCAAAAAGCAAGATGCTTTCAGCCAGGCAATGGAGAAATCCTCGTCCCAGAGCAGCCACAGCAGCTGGACTTGTAAAGGTTCAGGAAGAAGCCTCATCACTTAGTAAAGAAAACTCAGTACTATGTTTCCCACTTACAACTACAAAGATCAGCATAAGGATTTTTTTTTTAATTTACAGGCAGGGCAGAATACTTTTTCAGAACAGCCAAATCCTCAAAAATGGTTTCCTAGCTCATTTTATTGCCTCAGCTTTATAATTGGTATGGATCTTAACTCTACCAGCTTTCTTTGCTAAAAATAGTTTGTCTCTAAAACTGTGAACTAATCTTTTATTTTATGGCATGTTAGTATATGATAGGTGCTGACACAACTCCCAAAACGTTTAATACAAAACTCCCAAGTGAAGCATTGAGGAATGGATATTTCTCCTGTGCCTTTGCACTGTAAAATCTTGCCTGCAAGTTGAAAAGGTATATATAGGAAGTGGAAGGAATTGCATTATGGAGATCCCCTCTGGAAGCACATTTCTCCTTTGGAAACATTATTACTTGAAGATAGTTAATCATGCAGAGTTCTGGAATAGGAGGTACTAAAGCTATATGAATAGTGAATGTATGTATGAAATAAAGCAGTAAGACATCCCCAGTGCATGCACAGCTACACACATGTACCTGTACAATTTGGAAGTTATCAGGTATCAGGAGACTGACCCGGTGTTATGTCCTTACAGATGTGCTGGTATGGAGCAATGATCGAGTCATACGCTGGATACAAGCCATTGGCCTCCGAGAATATGCAAATAATATTCTAGAAAGTGGTGTACATGGTTCACTTATAGCACTGGATGAAAACTTTGACTACAGCAGTTTAGCTTTATTATTACAGATTCCAACACAAAACACACAGGCAAGTTTGCTTATGCTACTTCTGGTTAATCTGTACCCATTGTTACCTTTTATTCATCTTCAACCATTTTAATTGTTTACTTTGGTATCTCTAGGCACGGCAGATCCTTGAGAGAGAATACAACAACCTTTTAGCACTAGGAACTGAAAGACGACTTGAGGAAGTAATTAATTTTATTTTCAGTATTTATAAAATATCACAGTAAAACATTAAATTGAATGCATGAAGAGATGTTAATTTTCACATTGTTAAAAAGAGTCAGTTACAGCTTAAAAAAAAAAAAACAAACTTAGGAATACCCATCAAGGTTTTTAAAGTAACCTCAGTTTGGCTACATATTTGTGTCATCTCAGATGCTAAATCTGACACTGCACTCTTACCTTAAGATGAACATATTCCAGAGAGGAAACATGCAGAATGGAGTGGAAGTTTTGCTGGCCAGAGCAGGTGGTGGAGAATGTGTGTGGGTGGGATGCCCGTGCAGTCTATTCTTTATGACACATCTTTTTTAAAAATAAAGAAGAAAAGTAGATTCGCGGTTTGTTCTTTATTGCTTTTTTTCTTCAAAGTTCTTCAAAGTCAATCAATACTAACAGAGCGTGATTTGGGGCAGTTTTCTGGGAAGAGGAATCTCAAATCCAACTATGGAAATTATTTATCTTAACATAAGAGTCCAGTGCAAAAATGTTTAAGTCTTGGACTTCTGCACTATTCTGCACTACTTCTCTATTTTCTGAGGAGAAATAAAATTTTTAAGGACTTGCTGAAAATGTCAGATGCCTATGAATTCTGTGCATGCACATGAGTGTTTAATCCTTCTTTAGTACTTTATGTAAGCCTCCTAATGCAATAACAAACCACTTTCTGTCACTATGTAAGAAAGTTCTACTTTAGCTGATACTAAACCCCTTGCCTATATCAAGCCAAAGATTTAAGAAGAGATTTCCACCCCAGCATTTAATATTTCTAAAGCTTTTACTTTTACAAGCATGTCTCAAACATTACAGTGACTGGCTGCAGTGCAACAGAGCAGGGTAGTTGCTATGGAATACATTGGGCAGTGGTAGAGATAGCACACAGCAGGATAGTTAATCAGAAAGTTTCCTTTTGCTTTATCAAACACAACTCTGTGTTGGCAGAGCGATGACAAGAACTTCAGGCGCGGCCCCTCCTGGCGACGGCAGTTCCCTCCACGCGAGGTTCACGGGATCAGCATGATGCCAGGCGCCTCCGAAACGCTGCCGGCCGGGTTCCGGCTCACCACCACATCAGGGCAGTCGCGGAAAATGGCCAGTGACGGTACAAGCTCGTTTCTGCACTTCTCTTGGCAAGCACGAGGCTCGTCCTGCCATGCCAAGTTGATTTAATGCATGTCTGTCTCGCACCACAACTGTGTTCATTTAACTAGGATGAACCGAGTCCGGGAAAGTTGAATTAGGGAATGGAAAAGCACTGACTTGGCATATTATTGATTTTTTCAGGTTTGCTTCAGCTGACAGTGTTTATTTAAAATACAAAAAATGGCCATCTCACTATTCTACATCTGTAAAAGAAACAATCAGAAAGAGAAGAATTAATTTACTAACTTTCAATTAGACTGAATATAATATCTAAGCAAATTTTTCATCCTTTTAACCTCTCCAGCAGGTGGAGTGTGTTTTAGAGAATGCAATTAGAAAGGGCTATCACCTTTATTTTCCTATTTTTAAATTAAATAGCTTAGCCTTGACCATCAAATAACTGAAGCTGCTAACAGTCACCAGGAGATGAGTAGTTAGCAAATACTGAAATTCAGGCACTAATTGAGTTACTATATACCAGTATTAATTTTCCCTGGAAATCTTTTGATTTCTAAAAGATACACTAACTCAGAAATGAGAGGGAAATTAACAAGCAGATCAGAATTAAAAAGTAAGTAAAATTTAAAAACCATTGTAAGAGAGCAGACAGAGGAAAGAAATCCCATCACGGCTATTCTTTCAGGTATATGGAAGATAAAGCCTAGTATACCTGCCTGAAGTTCTGAGAAATATTAGTACACAGACTGCCCCATTTAAAATACTGCCATTTATTTCATCATCAGACAGGATTTAGGTCTACAAACAATTTAGTACACTGACTTGTAAAGATTACATCCTGTAACTTGATAATGAACTTGGTATGACAGTATTGCCACCTAAATTCCCTTAAAGCCATCTAAATTCCATTAAAGTTTCTCACCCTTAAAAACAGTATTCTATAGCTGCAGTTACAGATGGAATAATTTACTGATTGCATCTCTGAATTCCATTGACTCCTACCTTCCATGGCATTTCCACAGCCCACATTACGGCAGCATATATATATATATATATATAACCTTATAAACTTTAGAACATTATAAACATTAATGGATTTCATCTTCCAGTCACGATATGATGTATGAGATGATATTCTCATTTTACAGATGTGGAACTAAGGCACAAGACAGATTTAGTGGTTTACTTGAGGTCTTCCAGACAGTTAATTCTTGAGCCGGGTATACTGAACTCAGTAGATTTAAAGGGAAGTAATTTTGAAGACCTGTATCTTCATCCAGGATTTGGCTTCCTATCTCCCAGCAGTAAGAACACAATAGTATTTAAAGAGCATGATAAGTAAGAGCATTAGGACTTCCAACAAAATAAAGATAAAATTGAGTTTTAAACTGTATTCACTTTAGACAGACTCCAGCAGTACATCAGCCATGAAGAAGTGCTGAGTTTTGAACTAAGCCATGCCCAGATCACATTAGAGAAAGCCACAGAGCAATTTAACAGCCACCATTCCAGTGGTAAACAGACTGATATATTTTATTGATGATTCTAAAAAGGTTCTGGTTTGTTTCCTTTTTTTTTCCTTCCTAATTTGCAGTTGCTTCATCACGACTGCAGAGGTTAGACAGCTCAACAGTTCGCACATACTCATGCTGACAAGGCCTAGCAAAGAAGCCAGCACTGAATTGTTGTGAGTATTCTGTAGGGGCCATCATGAAAGCTCTTTGTAACTGTACACTACCCCACATTATCCAAGCACGAACCAGCAGGGAGCAGAGCACATAACTAAGGGTTTGCTAGGCTGGTCATTGGGTCATGACAACAGTCTTAAGTCCGAAGGACGCTACCAACCATATTTTGGGGAGAAGGCACAGGGAATGAACTTACTTCATGAGAACTTGAAAGAGATCTGCTAGGAGCTGGATTGGGGAGCAATGCTAGCAAAGAAGAAGAGATTTACTTTTTCTTTTTTAAATATAATTAAAGCTATGACTCAGTTTGGAACATCAGGTAGCTGCATAAAGTTAGAACAAGACTTACCCATACAGAAAATCTTGAAAATTTATCTATTACAGAGGTTCCTGCACTTCTCAAATCATTCAGAATTGACAAAGAAAGGATAATCTGAGCTGGATGCAACTTTGGATAAGATTTAGTATTGGAATTCATGTTAAATTTTTCACCATATATCTTTTGAGTGTGACTATGAATATCACAGAGTCACTGTTCCAGAGTTCTGTAGAAATACGGTTTTCTATTTTATCCCAGCTTTTGGAAAAAATACACACATGATGAGTACTTACATCAATATGGCACCATTTTATCCTTGTATTTTCTCAGTAAAACAGTTTTCATTTAATTACCTGGGGAATCACAAGGCAGCTGGAAAAAAATTTGAATATCACCAAAACCTCATCAGGCATCAAACATGCTTCAATAGCTGCTGCATATTGTAGGCAAGACAAGCAGATTGATTTTTTGTTTTGATTCCCAAGACTGGGACAGACTTGGGGTCATCAAGATTTTACTAACTCTGTGTAGGTTGAAAAAATGCTTAGGAATAGCACATGTTAACAGTGGGAAAAGTAGATTGTTCAGGATCCTCCTGATGACATGAGCCTTACTTCATAGATCTTCAGACCTTCAAAAGACTGCAAAAGTATAAAACCTTACCCTCAGTAAAAAAGGGAACTCATTGAGCCACCTCTGAAAAAATAAGCTTGGGGAGGTGTGGTTATTTGTTGGTTTTGTTTGGGTTTGTTTTTTCTGAAAAAGCAAAGTTTAGCAGCTGATTCTACAAATATGATGATGAAATGCATGAACTGTTGAAATTTTTTTCTGTGTATGCATGTATGGATTTGAGCACAGTATTGTATCAGTAAGTCAGTGACAGGACTCTCACAGGGTTCAGTGGTGACAGAAACTGAAGGCAGAGATACAAAGCTTTTCTATGTGCTTCAGAATGGGAATGTTGGAAGCAATAAAGTATGACCAAGCTATGTCTTAGGCCAACAGTAATGGGCCAGGCACTTGAGGTGAGGCTTGAAGAGAGAGCAGAAAGGCAGAAATGGAAAACCAATATGCTAACAAAAATTAATTTTAAATTATCCAAACTATTTATTCCCACTATATTAAAGTATCTAATAAAGTAGCAAAGCACAAACAAAAGTAAAGTAGCAGACTTTTCTGGCACTAGATATATATATATATGGAAGGCATGTACTTTGAGCAAAAAGATGTGCATATAAAGGTATACAAGCTATACAAGTTAACTTCAATTTCTATTGGAGTATTAGTAGTGTTTCAAGTACATAAATATTTGCTGCTTGTTCACTGTCCTGCCAATTAAATCCTAATGTTAAATGCTTGAGACATCTATAAGGATATCAAATTTGCATCTACATTGTAAAGGCTAATTATGTAAATATGGGGTTAACTGACAGTAATGTACTACTATTTCTCTTCTCATTTACCGTTATTCCCTTTTAGAGAAGGAACAAGATGATGTGAGCTAGATCTTTAGTATATGCACTTTCTGTAAGGGCAATTTCAAAATGTCATGCAGGTTATAAACCAAAAAGCAAGTTATAGTAATTTTGGATTCCAGTACATTACACAGAAAATCAAAACACCCCAGCCCTCCCCCTCCCCAAAAACAACAAAAAAAAAAACCCAAAACAAAAACCAACCAACCAACATGCAGAGGGCAACAGAGGAGTTTTCAGGATTTTGTCAGCACACTTCCTAACAGTTTCTACATGAAAGGAGCTGATTGATACTTCGACAAAAGGGAAGGTTATTCATTACAACATGCCTCCTGAAATTTTCCAGATCCAGCTTAGACTGAGACCCAGGCTTTTGTAACACCTTGCCTAGACTCCATCAGCAGCTGCGATACTCTGATATAGCATCTGCATACACAGAACCAGGAACTAAGCAGCAGAGGGGAGGGATAGCTGGACAAGCTGCCACACAATAGCGAGATAAGGGAGTTTTTCATATGGTAAAGGAGAACATGCCTACAGAGCAGGCCTAAAAGAAAGTGGAAAAGAGATTACATGTGGAACAAATGCAGATGGCCAGTGATCACAGCAGGCTGCAGATTCTTGCATTCTGCTACTCTTGTGAGTAAGAGACATTCTTTTACACAGACTGTCAAAGGCTTGTATTTCAAAACAGTTTATGCCAACAACATCAGTTTGGTACAATCTTCCTGTGTATTTATAGTGTTCAGAGCAGCTGTGTCCCATTCATATGCTTTCAAACTGCATTTCAGGTGGGGTTTTTTTGAACATTTTTTGAAAGCACAATGAGCTGCCAGAAACCATGAGCAGACATTGTCAGAACAGTTATACGAGCACACTCTGCACAGGCCTGTTTTAGTGCACTCGGTATCAGAAATTTAAGAACAATTAAGGCTGTTGGTGCTGGCCATTTAATGTTGTTAAGAAATTTACTAGAGACACAGGACACATCAAGCTTTCTGCTGTGGTGGCTAGATGTGGTGGCCCAGCTGAACAGCTGCAATGCCTTTACACAGCCAGTGGATTTGGCATTCATAATATCCAAGCTTTCCCAACACCTTTAACTTCTAAAACATTTGTCATTGCTAAGTCAGGAGGGTCATTCAGGACAGATTTCTTGCCACAGGCTGGAGCAATAGAACATATTACTTTAACTTTTATTCTAATGAAATACTAAAGGAGATGTAGCAAAATCAGTTATGTATTTTACCAAGGCTTCCAAAGAGAATTTATTAAGACAAATGGAGAGGCAGCATTCCAAAAAGATGAGAATGATAATCGGGAAGCAGCTGGTCCATAGCAAAGAAACTATCAGGGTGAAAAAGGTAAATGCTGTCAAGCTGCAGTGAACTAGGAAGAAGAACTACAAAGTACATCAGCAAGGTCTGTACATGGAAAAATGTGTGTTTAGCCTTGTGCCAAACAGGCAAAGATCTCCAGATGCAAGAAACTAATTCCAGTGCTGAACCAAAATAGCAGGAAAACAACTACAAAATGAACATAAGCAGCAGTCTCTGTTGACTGAGGACAATTAGTAAAAGATTAAAATTAATTATTAGTAAGTTTATGTTGCAGATCTAAAACTGAACAAATGCATGCCTGCCATGAATACTCCAAACCCATGTTTTAGTAACTTAGTTACTAAACTACTTACTTAGTGCTATACTTTCTCTTGTCATTGCACTTTAGACTGAATTAGAATCATAGAATCTCGCTAATTAATGTTTATTTTTTTCTCTTAGATATCATCACTTTCTTCTACTTTACCTGAAGTGCACTACCGCTACTTAGGAAAAGAGCATTAAAACTCTCTGCAAGAACAGGTTAATAGGGAAGAGAACACATAAGGTTTATCATACAAACAGATATGATGTTCCTTTCATGTATTGGTTAGTTTAAAACAAGAATGAAGACTAACTAAATTACTAAAAAAAGAAAACAAAACAATTTCCCCCTTTTTTCAGCATCTCTGTCATCAAAAATTTGACAGTAGTGCACATCCAAAGCTTTTATCAAATGAAGCCACTCATCTTTACATTGTTACATCTGTTTTATTGTAAAATACTAGACATTTACGTATTTACTGTGTATGTATTTCTTTTAAAATGTGTAAGTCTTATGTAAATGGATATAAATATGATTTTTTAAAAATAAAATCTATGGTACATGGGGTCTCAGTGCAAACATTTGACAATACAGTGTCAATAATACTGTTTGTATCTTTCCATTCCACCATTTTTACAGTTTTTGGATTGTAACAGTCAAATGAATATGTTTAGCAGAGTTAGAAGCTTCAACATGTTCCTACTGAGAAAAATCTGTCAATATTTAAAGCTGAACACCTGCCTCTGATGATGTATAATAGAATGACATAACCTGGAACTGAAGCCAAAAAGGACCTCTAAAGACAAAATGGAAATGTTAGATACCTACAGAGACGCACCATGATGGCTCATCTCTTAAAAACAAACAAACAAACCCAGAAGAACTGTTTATAAAAAAATAAAAATCAATTTAATAAAATATGATTTGTACAAAAAAACCAAAAACTTTCTTCTATGTTACCTGCGGACCAAGAGGAATCTTGCTGTACCAAGAGCCACCTTTTTGTTCCAGGATCTTCAAACACCAGCCAGCATTGGAAAAGTAAATCTAATATTTGCATAGAATCAGATTCTTATTTCCAGATATATTCAGCAAAGAAAAAGAAAGAAAAGAGAAGCCAACCCCCACCATTTCTTCATTTGAATAGGGCATTAGACAGGCTCCTGTCTAACGTTATGCTTTTAGCCAAGATGGCCTTGCTGAGACTTCACAGAAGTCAGTTTTATCAGAGGAAATAACTGAAAGACAGAGTGACTAATATATAGTGTATAAAAGTTTAGAAGAGCAACTATTACCTGCTGTGGCTTTATTTGGTGGTGTTATTGTTGTTTATTCTTTGTTTAAATGGGAAGTTTCAAAGTAAGACCTACTTAATAGTCATTACCTATTTGCTATTTTTCTGCTGCTTGATCTTAGCTCAAGACCTGTCTTTTAGTTATTTCTTTTAGCAGTTTGATCTGCAATGTTTGCACGTACATAAACATTTGTTTTGTCTATTTTTATTTGGCAAACTTCGGTCAATCAGATGGTGAAAGATTTTTCTCC